ATGCACCACCTTACTGCTGCCGTGTGTGTGTGTGTGTGTGTGTGTGTGTGTGTGTGTGTGTGTGTGTGTGTGCGTGTGCACGTGGATTCAAATGGTTGATTTTGTGCAAATGCATTTGTTAATTATCACTGGTTTTTACAATCAGAGCTGGGGCAACAACAGCAGAGAAATAACAGAACAGTGACACTATTACTCTTCAGATTTATTCCTTTTGGATTAGAACTTTTTATGTGAATGATCCTTGCTCAAATATTGTATAAAAAACAAATTATGATAGTAGTACAGTGAAACGTCCAGAAATGGTCAATTTTCACCGACATATTGATCTACACAATGTCCGGTCATCTACAGACCTAATTCCACTGGAGCTTCTATTCTGTCTTCTAAAGTCCAGAAGATTCTGCAGTCCTTGTTGACATTTCAGGGGGAGCAAGATGTCACCCTATGTTCCCAAACAAAGCCTTCTTTTGATAAGACTGCAGGACTGCACACTCTCATGAAAGAACTTTTACGACTCAGAAGTTAAATAATCATTAAAGAAACATATGGTTGAATGAACAAATGTTATATGAATATTAATGTTTGAATAATCTGTGCCTAATTTAATGAAGTTGAAATTAATTTTAATATTACAATGAAACATTTTGATGTTATGATCAGTAATGTCTGGTTTAACAATTGAATCATTATCTATACTCATACACAATGTTCATAAGATATAAATTAAAGTTAACGTCACTGCACATAAAGATTCTTTATCCACAGAATTAGAACATCTTTTGTATCTGGAAAAGACGTGTGTTCTGAGGTGTGTTTGTTACAGTTTATTTCGATTGCTAAAACTCAAAAAGCAAAAATGAGGCACAATTTTCACAACCTCTACTTCTGTTCCCAGTCGCTTGACTCAGTTTATCACTACTTAAGATTGCCTTATCATATTAGAACTCTGATTTTCCTCCTTTACACTCTGATGTCAATTTCACATCACCATGCTGTCAAAACACAACACACAATTTTCAGGTTTACACACACTTGTCAAACAAACTTTCAAAGCTTCAATCAACAACACACAAATATTCAAATCTCTAAACTTTCGGGTCTGGCGAGCAATTTGCAATCAGGGACTGCAGCATAAAAGTAAGTTTCCACAAGGCTACCCAGTGGTTTCAGGACCACCCACCGTTTTCCATTTAATACCTTCCACCTTATTCCCCCTTCCTCAATCCCACTGAGGAGTTTTTCTCAGCCTGGAGGTGGAAGGTGTACAAAAGGAATCCACAGAGCAAGGTCCCACTGCTTCAAGTCATGGAGGAGGCTTGTAGCGATGTGGCCTTTGAGGCCTGTCAGGGCTTCATGAGGCACTCGAGGCGGTACTTCCAGAGCTGTTTGGACCAGGAGGACATCGTCTGTGATGCTGATGAGACCCTCTGGCCAGGCAGAGACCGGAGGCATGATGCCCCATGATTATGCTGGGGGGGGGGGGGGGGGGGGGGGGGGGGGGGGGGCTTAGGGTTACCGTAAAAATAAAATGTTTTGTCTCAAAATTTGTGTGATGTCTAATGTTTGTCTCAGAGAAAAGTGGGTACTGTCATGTAATTCATTGTGTTCCCTTTCGACAATTGTGTGTTCAGTTTTGCTCTTCAGTGTTCTTTCCATGCTTGGTAGTGTTCACGCAAAGGCTACTTGTGTTTAAGCAATGAATGGTATGTGTGTGTCATGTGAAAATGTGGCTGTGTTTACCAAATGAAAACACATATTCCATTTTGGGAACATGTTACAATATGTGATGGCAGGGTTTTGTTGCAAAGAGAAGCCACGGTTTAGGAATTTGTGTGTGCAGTTTTGAAAGAAACGTACAGTTTTGAAAAACGCATTTTAGCAATTGAAAAAAACTGTAATACCTCTTAACCTCTTTTGTCCTGACTGGCCATGTGATCATAATATGGGAATATTAAAACAGAACCACTTGTGGAGTGATCTAGTTAGTTTTTGAGCAGAACTCCGGACTGGCCACCGGGGGAAAACTCTCTAACCACCGCATCTCTTAACAAGCTGTCAAAACCTACACGCTACAGCTGACACAGCAAAACGGTTCCTTCAGCTATTTAGAAACAGCTGTTCTAGACGCAAACGATTTCATCTATCTGTTGTGATCCGGGAGACGACTCTGGACCGACCTGGCCACACTGCGATCTTTTCTACGAACTTCGGTACCTTGGGGTCACCCGATCCAACCCCCCCCCCCCCGACATCTCGGATACAAAAGGGAGTCTCCTCAGGGGTACGTAGAACACAGCAAGATTGCGTCTGATGCCGATTTGGTAAGAACCATCTTCATAATTTAATGCAAACCAAATTCTTTTCACAACCAGAACTCAGTTCTTCTAGATACAAGGTTCTGATAAACACACACCATTCAATCACCATACATCACATCCCATCCACTTATATTCATTCATCACATAAAGAGTCCTAGTTGTCATGCTTTAAATTGTTTAAAAAATAAATTTCTTACCTTTTATAAACCTGACTGTCTGAATTGATACGAAGTGTGTTCGATCACTGAAAAAACAAAGAATCCTAGAATCTTCTGATTAAACATTCAAAGACCAATCAGAGTGATACACTATATTTATATAGAATATCACAGCTCATTGGTCTTAAGTTAAGGTAATATGTTAAGCTTAAAAGCAACAATATTTACCCCCACAACAACAGACCTTTATCCAGATTAGAGTAGATTCTAGTCCTGCCACGATTAAGATTAAGAGGGGAAATTTGTGCGTTACCACATCTCAGGACAGATAGCAAAGGAGTACTATTGTGACCAAGATTAGTCGATTCGTCACGATGATGACGACAAACAAAATAGTCAGCAGTAAATTTAATAGTCGACGTTTATTCTGTGAAGCATTTTTTTTATCTCGCTTGCTGCAGCACCTTCTGCTGCTTTCTGCTCGAAGCGCTTGCGCAGTAGCGGCCATCCGAGTCAGCCGTCGCGCCGACGGAAAAACAAGACATCGTGGTGAGCCGGCAACATAGCTCAAATGTTTGGGAGCCTTTTACAAAGTTAGAAGAAAAGCACGTAAAGTGCAAACTCTGCAAAGTAGAACTCTCGTTTCACGGGAGCACAACGGTGATGCACGAACACCTTAAAACGAAGAACGTCGTAGCGGAGGACGAAGAGGGGCGGTCGCCTCTGTAAGCTCGTTAGCTGCTAACATCAATGGGGAGTTGTTTGTATTCATAACTGTAGCAACAAGAGTAGCAAAACCTCCCTGAACCGTCTACAGGTGGTTCAGAACGCCTGTGCTCAGCTTCTGACCAAGTCCTCCAAACACACCCACATCACCCCACTTCTCCTCCAGCTTCACTGGCTGCTGGTTAACTTCAGGGTTAATTTCAAGATCCTGGTTCTGGTCTTTATAGGGCCTTACATGGACAAGCACCATCTTACATTGGTGATCTACACCCCCAGCAGGTCCCTGAGGTCCAGTGACCAAAGCTTACTGGTTGTGCAGCACCAGGCTTAAGACCAAAGGTGACAGATCATTTGCTGCTGTGGCCCCCAGACTCTGGAACTCTCTCCCCCTGAGATCAGTGGACTCAGTGGTCTCCTTTAAAGAGAAAAGGCGCCTCGTGATTTTTATCTTAAGAGGCGCCATGTATAAGATTGTTTTTTCTTTCTTCAGTGGAGGTGATTTCATTACCCTTAGCAGGTACGTCACGTACAAGTGCTAATCATTTAGTCTTAAAAAAAACGTTCCCCTTCAATGGATGAGTTTATTTAGATGGCACATAACTGATCACACTTCAAACTAGAAGCTAATGATGGGTATATTAGAGCATCCTGGTGCTATAAGCTATACTTTACACACAACACGGTTAGTCGACTAATCACCAAAAAAAACTGATGATTAGTAGACTATTAAAATAATAGTTTGTGGCAGCCCTAATAGATTATTTGGTTTTCTTCCCCTAAAATTTACAATTTTCATTTTAAATGTAATTTTTTTAGTGACTTCACATTAAACATTAAAATGTCCCACTTAATTAAACAATGCTGCTAAGAGAAGATGAAACACTGGATATCCAGTAACACCTGCAAGTATTCATTTTTGTTTCTGTAAGTGGGCCATGTGAGCCATGCTCAGCCTCTGAAACGGTGACTCAGTGGGACTACAAAGGGCTGAAATTTGATGCACATGCAGAAACATCCAAATCCCACAAGAGTTCTCCTTCAAGTTTAGTTTTAGTCCCTACAAACACTTCTCCTCCTGCTTCCTGTAGTTCAAAGTTAAATCTGCACTTGGCAGATCAAACAAACATGGCTCTTTATTCCTTTAGTATGTGAAGTAGCAGTTGAAAAAAAAACATTCTTAGAAGCATGAAAAAGTCACAGAAAAAATACTGCATATTAGTTACTTCATAATTAGTATTTCAGAAACACCTCATTAGAAAATCAGTTTAATGATTTCTGCTGTAATGTTACTACCTCACATAATGGTTATAAATAAAATCTAGATACTATGAACCAGGTTTGTTTGTTTCTTGATTCTTTCAGGTAAACTGACGTTACATTACATTAATTTAATTACTTCATTAATAAATTTATCTCAATTAATTAATCAAACCATTCTGCAGTAATCAAACCAAAGGAACAACACCCCCACCTAGTGGTAGAAATGGAGGTAACAGTTGTAAATCACAGAAGTACAAAACACATTGTTTTTACATCATTATTAACATGGTCAGATGTAGATAAAATGAAATAAATAAGAAGTTAAAATAAAAATAAGACTTTTTTTCACACAATGAAGGGTGTTGGCTTTATTATTATTATTATATGAACAAAATTAATTAGGTCCAAACAGTATAGTGAATAATGCTTCAGCTTTTTGCTAATTTAAATCTTTGTAACAACCTATAAACTCATTACATTTTTAACAAACGCCAATGAATGCTTACGTTTAAACGACGCGGAAAATGTGTAAAACATAAACGAAACCGAAAGTTGCATGAGAGAGACAGAAAAAATGAGCCTTGGGAACCACCCTGGATTTGATCAGAGAGACCTTTAACTCAAAAAGCACAATGGCAGCCTGTGACCTAAAGTTTTCGATGATTTTTACCGTTTTTACTGTATTTTTGTTCTGCCAGGAACTGTAAGTACTTAAATAATTCACTGCTGTTACAGGTTGACCCGCTAGGATGTAAGTTTGGTTTAGTTTTCAGTTTCCAGAAATTGTTTTTTCGATATCTTTAAGGCGGATTGATTAGACAAAGCTATGTATGAAAAACAAAGATAACATAGTAACTTATAATTTTTGTTAAATTCAACTCGCGTTTTTGCCTAAAAGTGGGTGCGGTTAGAACTAGCGGACCGTGGACGCTTCATGAAACCGCAACTGTATTCGACGTAACCTCAACAGTTTAAAATCTCACTGTTATCGTGTTAAACCTTTGAGCTACGCGTGAACGCTCCTAACAACACGGTTGGTTGGTTTGTTTATCTGGAGAAGACTTTACAGAAAAGCGACACGCGCTTCGTTGTGTCGCAAAAGTTCATTTACGTCTGGTTTTAAATAAATTAAGGTCGCGAACAGCTACATTAATAAAAAGGAGTGTAGGAAATCTTTACAAGACCAAGATCGTGGATATCTTGGTGTGAACCAGCTAATGATTAACAGAGAAAAGTGACCGTTCTTCATGATTAGCTACCAAAACAAGCAGCTACACGGCTACTTCCGGTTATCTATCCGGAAGTTGTAGCCCGCTTTAATTTTAATGTGTAATGTTTTAGTAAAGTTGTTAGAAATGTAAATATACGTCTTCTAAGCTTAGAAAATAAGTTTAATTTTCATTTTCATTTATTAGTTATGCCTCTCCCTTCTCGAGTGTGCATGGAAAAAGAGTCTGGAGGAAACTAGAAGTGTGTGCAGACGGTTCCTACGTGCATGAACGCAATACCTGTTGTAAGTGTGCAGTTGGTAAGTGACAGGCCTTTATTTTATTTTTATTAAAATAATTTAATTGTGAAATAAAATACATGATTCACATTACATAATGTTTTTTAACCATGAATGTTTTTAAAAAGATAAAATATCTTGCTTTCTGCAAGTTTAGTTTGTATGTTCAGAATTTCTCTTCCTTCTAAACAAATGTTAGTTTACCTTATTGAAGATGTGATCACGTAAGACAAAAACTCAGAGATTATATTTTTATTTCGATGTGAGAGGGGCAAACAGATGAACAGTTGAATTAGATGGCAAACATGTTTGTCACTTTGATTTTCCTGTTCTCTAAGTCAGCTTAGTTTGACTGACAAACTAATGTTTTCCAGCTGTTTTATCAGTTTGGGCTTTATTTGATTAGCCTTTTCTCCTGTTCTAAAAAATTTCTATCAAAATTCGAAAACAGCACCTTTTGGATTTGTGTTTGTGCTTATTGCAGGTCAACGACTCAAACAGCACTGCAACGCCACACATCCTGTGACATGTGAGCTCTGTGAATATGGCACGTTCAACAGTATCCCCAACAATCTGGACCACTGTTTACCCTGCACATCCTGCAACCAGCCCAACGGTAACAATATGACATTTGCAGATTTTTAAATGTATGTAGCTTTACATGTACAAAGAAAAGCTGACACACAAAGACATTTTTTCTGCAGGTTATTTAGTTATAAAACTGTAGTTGTTGCTAATCAGAGTTCATCACTTAGTCCTGTTGTCCTGTAACTAGCATCAATTTAATATTTTCAAATAAACTGATAGTTTTATTTATTTTTAAATGATTGATTTACATCACACTGCTTTTTACTGTGGACGTGTCACATCTTTCTACATTCAAAAAACACAAACCATGCCTCAGATCTGAATCCAAACATCACAATGTTTTTATTTATTTATTTTTTGTTATTGAAAAGTTCACCTTGTGCAGATACTGTCCAGCTCATCAAACAACAACATTGTGTCTCTATGCTCCCCTTTAAGCTAATTTAGAGGAAGAGGACGCATGCACACCGGGCCGGGATGCAAAGTGTCGCTGTAAGAAAGATCACTATTGCAGCGAGACTCACGAGTGTAAAATCTGCCAGCCTTGTGACACGTAAGTCAGGCTTTTTTAACTGATGCATTGTTCAAAGTAGGGCTGCAACAACGAATCGATAAATTCGATGAAAATCGATTACTAAAAGCGTTGGCAACGAATTGCGTCATCGATTCGTTGTGTCGCACAACTCTTCCAAAAGCGCCCCCCCTTCCCCACCCGCCGTTGCGCGCAGACCAGAGCAAGTCAGATCAGCGCGAGGGAGAGCCGCAGATCAGCGCGAGGGAGAGCCGCAGATCAGCGCGAGGGAGAGCCGCAGATCAGCGCGAGGGAGAGCCGGCAGATCAGCGCGAGGGAGAGCCGCAGATCAGCGCGAGGGAGAGCCGCAGATCAGCGCGAGGGAGAGCCGCAGATCAGCGCGAGGGAGAGCCGGCAGACTTGAGCTGCTGCGAACCGGTTCCGCATTGTTGCACAGCGATCCAGGCAGCTGCTTCCAGCGCACGGTCCATTCTCAAAGTGGCGCAACCAAAAAACTATAATTAGCACACGATCGTTCATGTCCGCACATGTTCTCTATTTTCTGTCTTATTTGTGCCTGAAGCGCGCTACTGCGGAGCTCATCACCTGTGCTGTGGTGATGTCACCTCATGCAGCATCGAAAACGCGCTCTGCGCTTTTCGGTCAGGAGATCCCTTTGACCTGCTCAAAAGTAACTGATGAGGTGAAAAGGTAAGAATCCAGGCAACAGATTTTCTGGAGAATTAAGAGGAGATGCAGGAAGATGAGAGACAGACAGGACAGGAAAATAGTTCAATAAAAACAAGAAAACAAAACAAAGTGTTGAAAAGTAAAATGTAGGTAGATTTATCACCACTACACGTTTTTACCAGTAAAAAACAATAAGTTATACACATGTCATATTTATACATCTGATACAATTCAGATCACCTTCAAAACTCAGTCACACACCCAGGGCTGTTTCAAGACATTTTGGGGGCCAAGGCAAAATGCCCCCCCCCCCCCCCCCCCCCAATAACTGGGCTCCCCAGAAGCCTCTGTGTAATTCATGCCCTCTCCAGTAGTGTTAGTTATATGGTGTTTATAAAAGCCCCTCAGACATTACTGACATGCTCTAATATTATCAGATGAAAAACTAAATTATCAGACATGCTGTCTCATCTGCTTATTTTATAAACTTGCAAAAAGTAACAAAACCATTTGAAAGCCACTATTTGTGGATTCTCTGAAAGTTTCCATGGAGTTTGTGACAACTTATTTTTTCATTGATCCTATCGTCTAATCTCACAGTTGAAACAAGCATCCTTAATAATCTGTGCACAGGAAGCTTACCGATGCTGTAGTAAAACAAAAGGTATATTAATTTATTATTAATAAAACCTTGTTGCAACACTAAAGCAGAAAAATTAGATTTTGCATTAAATATGCAAAATATTTACATATGAATTGTTTTAGAGCCCTTTAATTGGCAGAATCTGATATTAATTTAGTTCTTACAAAAAATGGGTCCCAACATGGTTTGTGTGGCATTGCCATAGTGTGACGTCATAGGCACAGATCCCCTGTCCTCTTGTTTGGAAATGGAAATATGGTCACCCTACATTAAACAAACTGTCCACCCGGGCTTTTGCACTGCACAGAGACGCTTCGCTGCCTACGACTGAACGTCAGTTGAGAGTCAGTCTCATGCAGACTGACCAATGAAGAGAGGGCCTCAAGTTAAGACCCTCTCCTCATTGGTCAGTCCACACGAGGTGGGTCAAAGGTTACTCTGGGCGGGTTACGTGTTGTCAGGCATTCAAGTATTGAGTATATTTACTGCATATTACAGTAAAATATTCTGTATGTGACCACATTATGGTGATCCTTGGGTCGTGATGATGGAGCCCTTGAATATTGTTGCCCAGGGTACAACAAAGTGTTAATCTGGCCCTGGTTCCGCCGTCACATTCCCGCAGAAACTGGTTGATCACACCGGGGCCAGACTACTAGCATGTGGTTTTACAACCACAATGTCCTCAGAAGCAAAAACGCTTTTAAAAGGGAGGGAGGAGTCCTAACTGTTGCTGCAGGCGTGTTGTGTGAGAGTGCAGTTATATACTGGTTAATATATTTTTGGGTTCAGTTGCTTTCATGTGGCCTAATGTGAGTCTATTTGGGATCATTGGAATGATCAGCAGCATTTCTTGATGTGACTTTATGGCAGTTGCCCAGGGCATCATCGCAAGGAGGATGGCATTCATTTACTTTTGTTTTATTTGGTATTTTTTCAGTCATTTTTGGAAATAGTGATCAATTTTGATAAATTCACAGCCTATGTTTAATTACATTTAAAATAAATGTCAACAGATGAGATCAAACAAAACAGATGAGAATTGCCCTTAAGCTGTTTAACTTGGACCAAGCATTTTAGGTCACAGATAGATGTAGCTTAGGGTCTCTGTCTATACACCTTATAAGACAATTTAGGTGATGGCATGTTGTTTTTCTGCTATTGAACTGTTTTCTAATAATGTTGTGTTAAATAAAGTGAAGGAAGGAGAGAAATAACGTTTCCCTAGCAGTTTTTAAAAATTTCCCCATGTAATCCGATTAATCGATTAATCGTGTCGAGACCCCATCCGATTAATCGATTATCCAAATAATCGTTTGTTGCAGCCCTAGTTCAAAGTTGCTGCTTGTGTTCAAATCTCGTCTCCTGCCAACTAACAATTGAAAAAGCAGTGGGTGTAAGGTTTTTTTTTTTGTTTAAGGTGCGATTCTGTGGGCATTAAAGTACCCTGCACATCCATCAGCGACACAATCTGCAACACGGAACCCAGTATGCTCATAATTAAGCTTTAAAGTACCCGTATCTCAGTCATTTATAATTAAAAAAACCTTTCTGGGATAAAAATGTTCCTCTGTGTTTCAGATCCTGGTGTGATTGCTGCTATTGTTGTCCCTTTGCTGTTAGTTATTTTGGGGATATTGGCTTTCTTTGGATATAAATATTTGAAAGGAAAGAAGGTGAGTTTTTGTTTGATCCTAGTAAATCCACTTTATTTAATGTTTGTTTCAGTCTCCATGCGGAATCACAAACTTTATGTTCTTCACAGATGCAGCAAGAGTTAGCGAACTGCACCGGTGGCACCAGTGATGTAAGTTTCTCTGTTTGACAACTTTCCTTGTCGTGTGTCACACACACACACACACACACACACACACACACACACACACACACACACACACACACACACACACCAGGGTTTTTCCCGGCTCAAATTAAGGCAGAGGTGGTACCATCCTGACCATGCGCCAGCACAGGCATACTCTGTGCATTCAACTGCCTCATTTTTTTAAAGGCAAAATATTATAAAAGGCTCAATAATATGCATTAGATTGGTGTTTTGTTCCCTTTTCCCATCTGATATTTATAGTTAAAAATATTTTTAAATATTTAACCTACAGTTCAGTAACATTTTAGGTTTGTATTAATAACACTCATCTTAGTCAAAACAACACATAAATATATCTGTCATGGTCTGGGGAAAACGTCTAACCCAAGACATGCAGAATCACAACCCGAACACAGAATGATGGAAATATTTATTGAAAACGGGGAACAGAAGGCACACTGGGAAGTCCAGTGGGATAGAGAACGGGAGCGCAGCGTCTGGGAAGGGGAGAGCAAATACAGGTGAGTCCAGGGAGGTAAGTCTTAACTAGGAAGGTGCAGAGAAAAGACTTACTGGGAGTTGAGGGGAAGCACAGAAATGAGGGGGGCAGGTTGAGAGCCGGGGTGTATCCAAGTGGGGGGGTCCAGGAGAGGGAGCGTGAGGTGAGCAGGAGAGCGGGTCGGTCGGGATGGATGGAGAGCGAATCAGAGCTGAGTCCAGAAGTCCTATGGAGCACGAGTGAATAATCCTGAGGCGTCCACAAACCTGAAGGCAGGTAATCACAAAATCCAAAAAAAATCACAAAAGTTCACAAACACTAGAGCATCCAAAAAACTAAGTAGCACAAGGAGGGCTGGAAACTACCAAGCTGTAGCAATCATCCGGCGTCGTGGTGTGTTCTCCATCTAGCAGGACCCGCTAATCGCTAACCAGGTGCAGCTGGGAAACTCCCTCTCCTGCAAAACACAACTCAAAGATGGAAAGTTGAGAGGAGTACTCACCCCGGCTCACGACAATGTCCAGTAAAATATAATGCATTTCATTAACATGCATTTGTATTGGAAATGGTAATAACATTTAATTTCTGCTGCTAACAATGTAATGGTGGCATGTCTACTATGTTAGGGTTAGGGGGTGTTCCGTTTTGCCTTGGCCCCCAAAATGCCTTGAAACGGCTCTGGGTGTGTGAGTGAGTTTTGAAGGTGATCTGAATTGTATCAGATGCATAATTATTACATGTGTATAACTTGTTCTTTTATAAAACGTGTAGTGGAGATAAATCTACCTACATGCTACTTTCAAGCTTTGTTTTCTTGTTTTTATTTAACTATTTCCTGTCCTGTCTCTCGTCTTCCTGCATCTCCTCTAAACTCTCCAGAAAAACTGCTGCCTGGATTCTTATTTTTACCTCAGGAGTTACTTTTGAGCAGATCAAAGGGATCTCCTGACCGCAAAGTGGAGTGCGCATTTTGATGCTGCGTCAGTGAGGTGAAATCATCTCAGCACACGATGAGCGGCGTGCGTCAGGCATGATTAAAAGTCAGAGTACCAGAGGATATAAACGGATATGAATGATCATGTGTTAATAATCATGTTTTGTTGCACCACCTTGAGAATGTATCGTGCGCCGGACGCAGCAGGCGCACCAACAACCAGCGCTCTGCGTCCTCTCCGCTCAACAGAATCCCGCTACTCTGAGAGTCCATAAATATTGTAATATAGGCAGAAACTGGATCTTACCCTGATATCTAGCCTCCCATAACTCGATCCCTGCTCCTGGATGAAAAACTAGACATTTTGGTCAATGTAGGAACTGTAGGAACAATGTAGGCTGGGGCGGCACAAAAATAGCTGGAGGCGGCCGCTACGCAAATTTGAAGGCAGGAAAAACCCTGCGCACACACACACCTGATCATTAACATTTTTGTATTTTTCCTCTTAATTCTTGTCAAGCTGCCTCTTTATGTAGGAGACAAAGGTTTGTTTTCTGAAACCATCCGTGTCTGTGTTGGTGTGTGTTTACTGTGTAATAACTTAGAATAATTTTCACATTTCTTCTGTTTCCCAGGAGAGGAATCCTATTAGAGGTGAGATGAAAAACTTCTATGAGATCATTAACTCATTGGCTGCCGGCCCTTTCCTGATCGGTAAAGCCCTTCGCTGCCAGCGTTTCGCACCATTTTTACTGTTTTGTTCAGAGTGACAGAACGTTGCGCTAGGATGATGTCGATGTCAAAACAGCCAAAACAAAGAGGAGACTCACCTCTTACATCAGGAAGAATCTGCACGTTTCGAGCTTCATATGTTCTTTCATAATCCGTTGTTGAATTGTGATCGGCAGAAGCTTTTCCGGTTCACGCCTCACCTTTTTTTTTACAAAAGCAGCCCAAAACGATCTACTAACACATGGATTTTCTGCTTCCTGATCACGTGACGTGTGACATGCAGATGAAGATCGGCTTTAGAGCTGAGATGTTTGTCCGACGCCCACACAGTAAAAAAAATGCAAATGCATTCATTAGCAGTGAACGGTTGGATTTAAAATGACGACTTTAGTCGTCAACGGCAGTGAATGAGTTATGGTGATTTATTTTTCCCTTGCTTTGTTGTATTTATCCACATTTTTTCACCTCTTCAGATGAGCCAATTCCTATGGTGAAAGTCCAGCCTCTCATCCTCGACATTGCAGAAACGCTTGGATGGAGGGACATGAAGGATTTAGCTATTCGAAGCGGCATTCCAGACACCAGAATTGATGCTGTACGGCTGAACCACCCCAACGACACTGAGGAGGCGTGTCAAAGTTTACTCAGGATTTGGGTGGAGAAGACAGGCAGAAATGCTTCAGTAGAGCTGGTCCAGAGCCTTCGACGTAGTGGGAAAAGAGACAAGGCAGAGAAGATTTTAGAGATTTTGAGAAAAACTCTAGATGCATAAGGTTTGGTTACCTCGTAGAATTAAACACTTGAAACATCGTTGCAAATTTCTGTCTTTGCACAGATGTGTAAATAAAGTATTTTAGGGTTAAATGATCTGCAGTGATGTATACTTGTATGGAAGAGACTGTTGAGTGTGCTCAAAGTTACATTTGATGATGAAATAACAGGTTAGTTATTTGTTTTACATTTAATTAAATCATTTTAAAACATTTTGGCCCCGGCCCTGGGTGTGTGAGTGAGTTTTGGAGGTCTAATCAGATCAAAGGGATCTCCTGATCGCCAAGCGGAGTGTGCGTTTCGATGCTGCGTCAGTGAGGTGAAAACACCGCAGCACACCATGAGCAGAGCGCGTCAGGAACGATTAAAAGACAGAATACCAGAGGATATGAACGATACGTTGCAACCATGGTTACAACCCAGGGGTCTATGGGACCTGGGGTAACATGGAGGACACGTGACACAGGCAAAACCAGTATAAAACAAAGATTTATTTAACAAAACTTGCTTCTGACGACAGGCTTAAACTAACTGAAACAGAAAATACAAGGAGCTGAATTGGCGACAAAATAAAGAACACACATTCACAAACACGTGTTGTCTCATTAAATGGCACCACTGTATCCAAACTGAGACCAAACACTAAGCTCTAATCAGGGACTCCCCTGCAAACTCTAGAGGTTTTAAGCAGAACCTCACCTGCATTTCTAGGGACTCCCCCTCTTCAGACAAACACACACTAACCAGACACTAATAGCCTACTATGACACCAAACACATATCGGCTACATGGATGTAAAAATGCAAGCCAAGGAGACATCAGGCCAGAGATGTCACGTTCTGCCCCTGCCTTCCTGACTGTGTCTCTCTCCTGCCCTGATTAGCTCTTATTGTTCTCACCTGCCCCTCGTTAACCTGCCCATGTGTTCCTGATTTCCCTGTGTATTTATACCTCCCTCCTTGTGCCAGTCTTTGTCAGATCATTGTTGTTTGTAGTCACCGTTGTTTTGTTCCTGTCGTTCCCATTCCACCATTAAAACCATTTTTATTTTTCTGAAGCCTGCATTTTTACCTCCTGGTCAGCTCTTCCACACACGGTCCATCATCTCCACTCCACTCAACGTGACAAGAGAAATGTGTCTCTATTAGGGATGTGTATTGGTGAAATTCTGGCAATACGATATGCATCACGATACGGGGGAGACGATACGATATACCACGATATATTGCGATACATTCAGCCAGACAGTAGTAGCGATTTTTTTAGACTGAATCTATTGTAGGAAATTTCAATAAACTGCCCAAACTGATACTTAACATGTTTATCATGATGTATCTGAACCATAATAAAGAGATTTACATTTCAATAGTGGAAACAAAACCCATGCACACTGCTGCCAACTAGAAGTCGGCTTTTGAATTGCACCAAAGGAAATGAAAATACACAAATGTTTGCAATGGAATTCTTCCCAAAATTCGATACACGGCGTTTGAATATCGATATAATATTGCAGGAAACAATATCACGATATATTGCCATATCGATATTTTCTTACATCCCTAGTCTCTATTCTGCTGCTCTCTGAGGAGTTGTTCCAGGAGTCTTTTTGAGCTGTTTGTCCTCCTTCAGCTGCTGATTGTGATTCTCTTCAGCTGAGTGTTTCAGGGCTGAGCCAGGTAGTGCAGGAGAAGAGAGGTGCTGCAGAGTTGCTCTTCTCAGCACATGAGGAGGAAAACAGGTGGATGAGAAACATAAAACAAAAAACAAATGGTGGTGGCCATAACATGTGTTAATAATGTTTTGTTGCGCCACTTTGAGAATGCGCTGGATGCAGCGGGCGCACAAACGATCAACGCTCTGCGTCCTCTCCGCTCAACAGAACCCTGGTACGCTGAGTCCATAAATATGGTAATACGGGTAGAAGCTGGATCTTTCCCTGAAAGGTATCATCTAACTATTCAAACCTGGAAGCTTGCAGCTCGTCCCTCACTACACGGGGGTTGTGGCTCACAGCTGCCTGTTGGTTGCGGTAGCTCTCTGCATGGTGCTGCCCGGGCAGCAGTACTCTGCCTTTAACAGTGGGCAACCATGGGCGATAATCATTGAGTAAAAAAAAAAAAGAAGCTTAATCAATTATTTGATAACATCGTGGATTCAGTAAGGACGATGTGATGAAAACTAAAGACAAATGTAAACTGCAGAAAGACTTGAGCACCAAATCAAGTGAACACACCCTTCTCTACATGCAGCGCAACCAGGCTTTATAGAATACCTAAGTACCTGACAAGTCAAATGTGACAATATGCACATGTGATATCCAGAATTAGAATATGAGAGCGTGTCCTAAATAGTTTGTTTGCTGGAAATTAATGTTAGTTTACTTTTCTATTTGTTCAGTTATGTTGGTTTTTCAATCAAACAACTAAACGTTTTTAGTACTTAGTTTGTAGTTTGTATAATAGAAATTTAAAAATTATTAACAATGAACGGATCTGAGGGAACAATACCAGTAATAAAACTAGCTGTGGAGCAATTATGCTGCCACAGCCCCATCTACTGGTCAACCTTAGTCTTTGTGTGTTCATGCATTTATCGTCCATTCATCGTTATCAGGCTGAAATCCTCAATATACAGTCATATTGACTTTAGGCCACATTGCCCAGCCCTACTATACAGTACATATGCTGGTAAATACCGCATAAATATTTCATGCAGTTGTAAATCCATTTCCTATGTACACAGGTGCAGTACGGAGAAACCCGCCGATTGGCGGGGCTGCTGAAGCTCAGGTGGAGGGAATAATGAACAGGGGGCTCCAGCTTGCAGCAGATTGAGAGGGAGGGAGAAAGAGATGTTTTCTTGCAAAATAAAGTTCTTCTTAAGCTCACTCTACATATGTTTGAGTGATATTATGCAGTTAATTTTTGGTTCTATATTTTTGACTAAGGTCAGTGTTTTCATGTGTTGAGTTCAGCGCATTTTACTTGTTTGTAATGCATTTATTATTTGTTAAATACAAAAACTTTTTTGCAAAATTGTATTTGTGATTTATTTTTATTTAGCGTTTTATTGTCTTAGTTTTACAGTGTGTGGGCCAATGCTGGCCTGGGGACTCTCAGCCAGCTCAACTTTCAGTACATGGGCCAATAATGGGCCTGGGGTTATGCCAGCGCTCAGCCAACACTCACCTGTACTGGCTCACTGAGTGTGGGCCTCTACAGGGCCAAAGCACACAATGAGAGACATCATACAGTGCATGGGCCAGACCTGGGCCAAAGCCATATTGTGTCATTTTTCTGTAAGTGGGCCAGTATTTAGGCAAGGATGTGGGCCAGAGCTGGGCCGGACACATTTTGCTATGAGGGAAGGAGCTGCTGGTCAGCCTGCAGGAGACTGAGAAGAAGGTTCTCCTAATGGGTGAGACCCCACAAGGAAAGTTGACCATTGAGATGGGTTGATGGTTTATCCCTTGGGTCCACGTGGCAGGGTTGAGGAGTGAGCACCACCTCACCCCTGCCATGTGGACCTCAAGGGATAAACCATCAACCCTGCTCAATGGTCAACTTTCCTTGTGGGGTCAAGACAGTGGGAGGGTTAAAGAAGACGTTGACATGTTGGAACTATCTTTAGCACATCTTTCATATGTTCTAGGAAATTAAAATGTTAGAGCAATCCAAGTCAGATGTCAAAAGTTCATTCCAGTTCCTGTTAAATGTTTAATTGTTTCTAGCTTTATTATTTGAAAATAAATATTGATAAAGAGGGATTTTAGCAGCTTTAGCAGCTGTGGACACTCTTGGCATCCAGGTTATTTCCTCAGATTTTCCCTGTTTATTAGTGAAATATAGTTTTATATTTAACTTCGGTGAAAACTACAGGTCAAACTTCAAAAAATATGGAGCAAAAGTTATTTATGTCAATAATTCAGCTTAAAGGGGGAAACTAATATAAGTGACATACTCATGCAAAGCCTGGTGTTTCAGCCTTTATTTGTTATAATTCCGATAATCATGGTTTACAGCTGATGAAAACCCCAAATTCAACATCTCAGACAATTAGGTTGTCTGTTGTTAAAATCATTACAACAAGGATTTTAAATAGAGAAATGTTGGACACTTGAAAAGTATGATCATGCATCTGTACTCGGGACCCCTTTTGCTTTTAATGAATTAAATTAACTTTTGCACCATCTTGTAATTTTCTGAGTTTCACCATGTGCTAACCTCAGTGCAGATAAGGGTATCACTGTGTGGACTCACTAGAGGCGCAGCTGAACATGTGACAGTGATGAGCTGTCACACTCTTCTTATATAATGGTGTACCAGATTTATGTTTGTTTCTACAGAGAGGTCTGCGCACAGAGCTGTGAGCTGACAGCAATTTATAATTTACATGAAGCGAAAAAGACAAAATTAACTTGTTTAGCAGCTTAATAATTAAATGTGAGAACCAAAGCTGAGTTAAACATTGCTGATCAGGTGCTTGTTTGTTACATCATTTTAGACTCCCTCCTAAAGTATCTGGGACAACCTGCAGCTGGATCTTCTGTCCAGGAGCAGCCGTGCTCCTCAGCTTCTCTTCTGTCCTCAGGTGAGTCTGTCATGTTGGTAAATACTTGTGATGATTAAAATAGTTTGACTTGTGTGAAAATAACGTCATTTTTTTGCCATGACATTGAGTTCATATATTTCCTCGGGTTTCTCATTATGCTTATGGACCTGGAGCCACCAGAGGAGACATGCTGCTCCTCCTGCCACTAACTGCTGCACCTGCTTGTTCAGGTGACTGACTTCTGCTCATACTAACAGAAGCATTCATTCCACATTCGGTGTGAGCCTGATTAATGTCAAGATTTTTATCAGTAACTTAACTCTCATTTATTCATGTAATGATGTATTCTTTAAACATATATCAGGTAATAATTTGTGTTGCAGTCCCACAGCAGATACTTACATGTATATTATAGTTATTCTTTATCTTGTGTACATGTGGTTTAATTGCGCCACTGCCTGAGTTCGTCTAGGGTGCCATATGGTCTAGGACTGCCCCGTGCACGCAGTATCTGAAAATAATGGAATAATGTTGGTAACATTATTTTATAAAGAAAATTCAGATTTTTTAAATAACGTGGTTCTGTGATAACATATAATATCAGTAGTTTTATGAATGTTTTGTTATATTTCAGTAATACAGTGGACAGCTGCTGCTACTTAACTGATCTCTTTGGAACTAAGGCTCTTTCTGCAGCAGCATGAGCATGCATTTGTTGCATGTGCACCTGTGATTGAGCCCCACTTTCACATCTTCGAGTCTCAGGTCTTCATTTTTATCTGCTGAGTGATTCTTTTCTTCCTCGCCACACCTGCCTCTCAGGTTCAAACTGGAAAGGCTGAACCGACGTTGTAAACCATAGGTCTCTAGGTCTCTGCTCATAAAGTGAGCTTTTGTTTTGTAGTTCAGTGTTTTAGTTACTAGGCTTGGCTTCCTGCCCCTTTGGATTTTTGGTTCACCATCCTAAATAAAGGATTTTACTTTTTACATTCGCTCCTGCCTCGTGTCATCTGGTGTTCTGCATCTTGGGCCCAAATCTCCTGCTCTCAACGTGACAAACTCCGCATGTGTTGATGGTGTTGATTCATAATTTTGATGCCTTCAGTGAGAATCTACCAATGTAAATGTCATGAAAATAAAGAAAACACATTGAATGAGACAGATGTGGCCTGTACGCTCTCTCTCCCTCTCTCCCCCTCTCTCTCTCTCTCTCTCTCTCCCCCTCTCTCCTCTCTCTCTCTCTCTCTCTCTCTCTCTCTCTCTCTCTCTCTCTCTCTCTCTCTCTCTCTCTCTCTCTCTCTCTCTCTCTCTCTCTCTCTCCATAAATATATGTATAGATGATTGATTTTTTATTTTCTTTAATTGAAATAATGCAACTCGAATGGCAACGTGCATCCCCACAAATGTTACATCAAAATGACCAGCTTAGCCATGGGAAGTGTGGTATATCATGATTTTTATATCACCCCATCGTCACCCCAATATCATGATTTTGGGCCTCTATAACACAACTCTATAACTGAGCGGGCAGGTCCCTTTCAAAGTTTCTTCAGGAAATTTCTAGTTATGGAATATTATTCCATTTTTATATAATCTCCAGATTAGGTTTCATTAACTTTTTTCTGTTTTTTTTTTTTATTATAATAATAAGATGCCTGTCAAAATGTCTGCCTTTCACTGCCCGGCTTTCCTTTCATGGTTTCTCATTTACAAACACAACTTCTCACCACATCTGGGACAACACAGACATCTTGTATAAACACAAATATGGAACACTGGTATCAATTACAATAAGTGAGTTGATTGTTTGATTTTGAGGGATTTTTATTTACACACGAAGAGTTTCTTATGAAATATAATATATATATTTTTTTCAAAATGATACAACACAACCTCATGCCATATCTCACTGGAATAAATTAGCAAATGATATTCTGTAGATAAAAGTCTGGCTACTACCTAATAGATATCTGATTAATAATAAAGTTAAAGAAATATCCTTTAAACTCCAGCTAACTCTTATATAAACATAGATTTAAGAAAGCAATTGATTTGAACTGTAGCTTTGGTAATTCTTGGCCTGAAACTGTGATGAATTTACTTTGGCACTACCCAGCAATTTAAACCTTTTGGCTGTAACGTTGATTACAACGTCCCTGCTCTAGTTCATGAATTCAGATCTCGAATGGGCTTCATCTGGACTGTTAGCTTCGTAAGTAACGTTGCTTATGTGATCATCTGTGAAGCCGAGAACAGGTTCACAGTGCAGAGGCGCAGCTGATGGTTTCGTAGCAGTATGCAATTTAAAACTTCCTTGGATTACCTTTTTAAAGAGCAAGTCACCCACCTCCAGAGTCGTAATCCACTCCCACTTCCTGTTTGAAAAACGCAAGAAATGCTGTTGCTTGGCAGGCTGAGAGGACGGAGCTGCTAACAAATACACACACACAGGCTCACAACGGCATTGTGACATCATAATGTACCAGCTAATGTCATAGTGTACCTCTTAGCCAATAGCAATGGCAGATTTACATTTAAATGCAATGAAAAGTTTTTACCTGAAGAGGGCGCAACACTGACAGTTTTAGGCAGAAAATTAACATTTTAATTAAGATGCATTGAAGTGCCAAATTATCGATTACATGTGTCTACAGCATGATTAGATACTCACTTATATAGTTTTTCCAGCAAAAAACTTATTTGGGGGTGACTTGCTCTTGAAAACATTTGCTGTGCTGAGCAGTTCCGGTTCAGTTGCGTGCGCTGTCTGCATCCAAAAAAGTCCCTACTGCACAGAAGAAAGGCATTTCCATATAAGCCTGCTGTGTGTGTGTGTGTGTGTGTGTGTGTGTGTGTGTGTGTGTGTGTGTGTGTGTGTGTGTTCGTCCGAGTCAAACACAGTTGTCCTGGCAATTTCTCAGATGGTCGTTCAATTCAACAGCAGCTTTTATTGCATTTATCCTGAAACAGCTTTCATGTGCTCACCTTGTTCCAGATGCCCCAAACAATCGGAAAGAGGCTTCATTGGAGAATATGACTTTGCCCCAGTCCTCAGCAGTCCATTCGCCATACTTTTTGCAGAAGATCAGTTTGTCTTTACTGTGGGGTTTTTTTTTTTTTTGGAGAGAAGTGGCTTCTTTGCTGCCCTTCTTGACACCAGGCCATCTTTCAAAAAGTCTTCACCTCACTGTGAGTGCAGATGCGCTCAAACCTGCCTGCTGCCATTCCTGAGCAAGCTCTGCACTGGTGGCACTCCGATCCCACAGCTGAATCCTCGTTAGGAGATGAAAGGTGATATATATATATATATACTGTATATATATATAATTTTTGCTAATAACGACGCCGTGGTAAATTGAAACTCTTTCTTTGAAGTTCTTGATGATCCTATAAATTGTTGATTTAGGTGCAATCTTAGTAGCCACAATACCCTTGCATGTGAAGCCATTTTTATGCAACGCAATGATGGCTGCACCCATATTATATTCATGGCAGCCTCTTGCCCCAACACTTTTAAATTTTGAAAAAAATCTCACTTTGAGATATTTTTAAAAAGGTTGGCAGCCCTGTGTGGTGTAACAAACGAAAAACAATATTAAAAAGTCTTAAATTTGCCTCTAAAATTATAATTTTCTTTACTGATTTCCCTGAGTAATTCAAAAGAGTCTGAGCTGCCATATTTAGGGAGTCCTGTATTGTGTTTTGATGTATGAAAAGGCGTTGTTCCGCTTTCTACCACGTGGTGTCGCTATCCGACAGGCAGGAGCGTTCTTCCTATTACGTCACATGTAAACACCAGGAGCGTTCATGGCCTCACGTCCTCCTCAAAGCAGCAATGATACAAATAAAGAATCGAATGAGATTCAGCTCGCTGGGCATTACTGCTGCCAGGCTGTTCTCCTCCGGTTCTGACAAGAACCCGGTCGTGTTTCTGGATATCGAGGCCGACGGTGAGCCTCTTGGGAGAGTAGTCATTGAGGTAGCAGCTGTAGCTAGCGGACTAGCCGCTAACTGTCAGACACTTGAATTCAACTGCAGCTAACTCTGAGCAAACATCTTTTTATCACTGTGTGTTTCTTGCAGCTGAATGCAGACGTGGTGCCAAAAACTGCAGGTATATATATATTTTATTTCATTTTGTTATTATAATTTTTTTCAATGGTGTGGACTGCTGCTTTGGACTTTTTCCTACAATAACAATAATTTATCCAACTGAACAGAAAACTTCAGAGCCCTGTGCACAGAAGAACATGGCTTTGGGTACAAAGGTAGCGTGTTTCACAGGATCATCCCAGAATTCATGTGTCAGGTACGGTTTTATATTTACACTTTTTGTTTATGTCCTTTAACATAAAGAAGTTACACTTCTGTGTCGCTGTGTTTTGGTTTCAGGGAGGAGATTTCACCAACCACAATGGCACAGGAGGGAAATCTATTTATGGGAAATCATTCAAGGATGAAAACTTCAAATTAAAGCACACGGGTCCAGGTAAAACCGATCTAAATCACATCTGACACTGGAAGACGGTCAAGGTTCTCAGAGTTCACAGCCTTATGTGAGGATGTTAGATTTTATGTAAAAAAAAAATCCAAAACAACGATCAAAAAGGACAATTTATATGCTTCCCACAATTATTTCAACAGACTATTTAATAACTCTCCACTAGGTGGCATTGCCTCATTTCAAAAAGCTGTTTAAAATTTTGTTCATATAGATTTAGCAATCCTCATGTGAATGACCTACTTTCTCCTGAGTCAACAAGCACACATAAAAATAATTTAGTATCTTGAAAAAAAACTTTTTTTCTTAAGTTGCACGTTTTTTCTGAGCCTGTTTCTGTTAAGAGAAACAAGCTTTTCCAAAAACATTTCACAACTTTATCATGTGATGAGGCAGTCAGACTAGACCAGCGGTTTAATAAAGAACATCAAGGTTCTCTGGGTTTTGTTGATCACGATTTTCTTCTGCAGGAACTCTTTCAATGGCAAATTCAGGACCAAACAAAAATGGCTCACAGTTCTTTATCTGCACCACAAAAACTGAATGGTAACAACTTTCCTGCTTTTACCCAAAACTGTTAATCAAGCACCTGCTGAAGTCATTTGTTGTGTTTTTATTTGACAGGCTTGATGGTAAACACGTGGTGTTCGGGCAGGTGAAGGACGGGATGGATACAGTCATGAAAATGCAGACGTTTGGTTTACATGATGGAGGAGTGATTAAGAAAATTGCCATCGTTGATTGTGGGGAAATCAAATAACATCTAAAAACCATTTAAAGATGTCCCAGTATGCAAAACCTTTAATATTCTCTACGTCTTCCAACTTCTGTTTATGCAAATAAAATAAAATAAAAAATTAAAGTAAAAAGTGTAACATAGAAAAGCAGATTTTCGTGAGTAAACAGTCTTCTCATATTGATGTCACAAACTGGCATTATCATTTTGAGATTTAGTCACATTTTTCTAAATAATTTTCACCTTTTATGCAAATTCATCATTTATGAGGTCTGAAATAGAGAACATTAAAACCAGCCTTCATTAGAAACATGGCAACAAAAAGGCTGATCTCTATATTTTAGGTCAACACTTAGACCTGTTTATTGCCATAGTTAGGTTGTAAAGTTATGGTTCATCCATTACCACACCACCTAATAAATCAAACAATTTTTCGGAGTTTACAACCTCGGGTTTGAGCACAGGACATTTCCTCTCTCGTGCCACCAGCTCTGCTGGTTCCAAAGCTTCCTGGAAAAGATCCAGTAGCTTTTTTTAGACCAACGCTCCAGCAAGAAGGACTTCCTGTGCATCGGAGCAGGATGCCACATCCACCTATCCTAACACAGTTAACAGATTATGTACATGTGGTCTATAGGCTCAGCCAGAGCAGATGATTCCATCCTGAAAAATGTCTGTATTTTGCACATAGGCCTCTTCTATCTCAAGTACGCACCATCTCGAGGGGAGAGTGTGGGAGGCCGAGGTTATGTCCGAAAGCCGGTGGAGTGTGTGGTGCTGCTTATCAACCTAATACTTTATGAAAGTAAATAATGAAGCGATGTGAAAAGGAGGCTGTTGCCCCTAAATGAAAGCATATGCGTTGTGACCTTCCATCGTTTGTTTGAATTCTCAGATTACATCGTTGCTATAACAACTTGTGCAGCTCAACTGTCTGAGCCGGAGATGTTGTAACAAACTTGATAGAATTCGGGTCCCCACCCACTCGTTTAGTTTTAGTTATTTGGAATTCATGTCCAACACTGTGCATGGAAACTTGGCTCAAAAGACAAGTGGTGTCGGCCAGTGTTTGTCTCGCACACACACACAGCTGGTACAAGCTGGATTCTTAATGTCTGCGTCACATGTTGTCCTCTCTGTTTTGGTGTCTCTGTCCACAGTTGGACTCACAAAGTGTTGAAATCAAAGTCTGGCAGCTTTATGTGTATCTATCAGCACTTTTAGGGAATGTGAACAAGTCCCCCCCCCCCCCCCCCCCCCATTATGCAACACCATGGATAATCCACTAAAGACACTGCCTTCTTCTAATCTAAAGTCAGCTTTGTGTGATACTTTAAATATTTTAAAGTAACTTCTGCAAAGATGCAAAGAACAATTTACCCCATACCTATTGCAGATGGCTACCTCTGAATAGCCTCAATTTGGTAAATTAGAGAATGCTTCTAACCGGACTAATGATTTAATAGCTAGCCTAAGTGGGGCCTGTCCTAAAACAACTAAAAACACTATTTTATAACCTCTGTCACTGTTATAAATGTCTTTTAGCAGTTTTTACGTAGAATTAGTTACTTGCAGCAGAAATAAGAAGTTGAGCCAGCAAAAAAAGGAAGCTGTTGGCATTTGCACGAACTGCTTTTTTATTTTTGTAATTAGTTGTTTAAGCATCATAAACATACCCTGCTCAGGCCAGCTGTTACCTTGTCTGAGGGCTAATATCTGCTTCCCAACACTGGTCCTCAGGGCACTCTGTCCTGCATGCTTTCCACGTAGCCCTTTTAAACACCAGTGTTTCCCTGCTGCCACACACCTGACTTAAATGAATGAGTGAATAACTGGTGCCTGCAGCACTTGATGTCCTGAAGAGACAATGTAAATCAGGTGTGCTGAAGCAGAGATATGGAAAACATTCAGGTCAGTGTGCCGTGAGGACATGGTTGGGAAACACTGCTCTAAACTGATGGTATCTTACCTGCTGCAGGTAACTGAACAACTACATAACATTTCCACAGAATGTCACAATCTTGCAGTCATATTACAAAGAAATTGCAGAAAATTCCTATTTATATTTAAATAAATTATTAATGGGGATCTAGGCATTTTTGACTTGCTTTAGCACCCCCTAGTGTCTGTTTAGTAGAGTCAAAAGTAAAACATCCCTGTGCTTTTGTCTTTTTAACACCTTAATCTAAAAGCTGAAAAGTCTCCTCAGCCTTCATTAGTATCTACAGGAGTGTTTCATTACTAAATTAAACAAATCAGAACAGACTGCAGCGCTAGGTATGTCAGCTCAGTCCCAACAAGGCGGGCTGCCAGTCTGAAGTTGCAAGTGGAATCTTCTGGTCACAGGGGCCATAGAGACTGGGTGTCCTTTCGTTAACCCTGCAAAAGGTCATTTTAGCACATACTGGCTCAAGAAAATGATTAAAAATCAGAAAAAGTTGCAATGTATCCTTTTAAATTAAATAAAAAATACACATAATAGAACATTTTTTAATATATTATAAAAATATGTATTAATTATACATAATAAAATATCTAGTTTTAGTTAAAGAAATTATAACAAAAAATGTAATCAAAAACTAATAATAGCCTTTTCTGGCTGAAATCAGAACGTATTCCCGGTTTCTGATCATTGTTCAGAGATCTCGTAAAAACAAATGAAGCACCTCAGAACACACGGTAATAATTCAATTTAATGTTTATTCACCAAAGACGCAACAGCACAAAAGCACTAAAATGTTTGACCCCATCTGAACAAATAAGGCACATTTTGGAATGCCGTTTCGTGGACATGAGAGACAGACCTGCGGTGGACTTTCCAAACCTCTCCTGTTTCCTAAACACTTCACCTCATGTCTGCCCTCTGTCCATTTCAAACTTTGCACGACTGCAAATAAATGCATTACAAACATCTCAAGAAATATGCACAGTATAGGATAAAAGTAACTTTCCAACTTGACCACATTAGCTTTACCGCATTATATTCAGTAAATACGTGTTATTCGTAGAGGCTACACTTGTGGTAAATGAAATAATCAGAATAATGTACTGTAGGATTTTAAATACATTGCACAAAATAATATTTAACTCAAACACATGCACATGCAAACTCAAACAGTTCTTTGTCAAACACACTCTTCTGACAAAAGTATACACTTTCTACACTACTAGTAAAAGTTTTATAATAATTTCTTGTCATTGCTGCGTTAAGCAAACTACATCTCACAGTTTAATGTGCTTATACAGTGGTGAGTATCCATCACTAGTTAAGAAACAAACAAACACAAAAGATTTCTGCATGTTAACACAATATATCTTCATATTATTGTTTACAAAACAAGTACATGGGGCTGTATGGATGTAAATGGCAGCAAATAATTAGTCACATAGCAACTGAAAAACGTGGGTTATTCAACACCAATAACGTCAAAACAAAACATGTTTAATACATGGCTTATAAATGAGAGGATATTCATTATGTACCAACTTTTTTTAATAATAATCTATGCAGACATCAATATTTCCTTCTTAACTTTGTTGCATATTCTATACAAAAGTGTTGTAAAAAGTAATTCCTTAAATATTTCTGTAGGATAACCCTTCAGATTATTGTAAAAAAACAGAAAAGAAAACACTCCCAGCTTTGATTATTACTCAATAACAGGCCCTTCTTCATAGACAAAGAAAAACTTTAATATTGTTAAACACTTTCTTGAAAAGGATGGCCATCTAATATATACATAAAAATCTTTTCGGCAGGGAAACGTTTGAGTTTGAATTTTCAACATCTTTAACGTGTTCCAAAATACACATCACTTTCGTAGAAAAAAACAAAAACAAATTTGAAATGTAACGAAAGTAAGTGTAATTCAAGACACCCGAGTAAATCCTTTTTTCGTGTTTTCTTTCATCTGCTTCGTATTCGTTTTGAGGCGACGTTTGAAACAACTTGTTTCTGTGTGGAATAAAGTGTCCAGACAGGATTTAATAAATCACAACATCATTACTTATGAGGTTCATTCAAAAGGCATCATTGGTACGTATTCATCTCACTACAGCCACGTGTTTTTATGTTGACAGTGAGAGTCTGATAACACCTGATAGTCTCATTTTCACAGAGAAACAAACAGTAAGATAAATGGATTGTTCCCAACAGTTTTAGGCTTTAATATATATTGTTTAAGTAGGATTGTATGGACTACCTATGAACAGTAAGTATCTTACCTGCAGTGGACAGGTGATCTTACGTTAGAAAACTACGAGGATGTTACTCTAACGCCTATGTACAACGAGGTCAATTCAACTTTATGTAGTCAGTTTTGCATAAGACAATCGTTTATGTTATCGCAATTTTTCAACTGAATATTATCTGTGTTGCTACACAAAACCACACGTATAAAGGGCATATTGTGCAACCAATTGCTCTTAGTTGCACATTTAGCTACACGAGTGATGATGTAACCCAGGGGTGTCCAAACATGATGGCTAAAATCCTCAAGTTAGAAGTCCTTGAAGGCCATCGGATCATAAGAATGTTAAAAATTGTCAATTTACATCAACAGCCTGGACAAAATTTCACCATTCTAAAAATGTAATTGGGGGCAAAAGCACTCCAAGGGCCACAAATGGCCCCTAGGCGGTGCTTTGGACATGCTTTGTGACCTGTTTTGTGCAAAAATCTGTATCATATTGGCTCAAACCACTAGTGAAATCTTTAAAGATGTTTAAGGTAGCCTAAATGTATTCTCGAATGGGATTTATTGTGCCAACTACTCTTGTGAGAATTTCTCTCTAAATCTCTAAACTATACCTGCGGTCTTCTAGAGTTCTAGAGAGACTTCATCCATATTCAGGAATAAATATTGACAACACCATGTTTAAAGTTTTAAGTTGCTATAATAAAGTTGCTACTAGAGACTTCATCCATCATTAGTGTTAGCCTCCCAACCTTATGGGGTACGAAGTCCTTGGAGTGCGCTTACATTTCCACACGCTGTAATGTACCATAAAAGTAACTTGGTTCATTTAGGCTTTTTGGAAAAACATATCTAACAATGAATGAGTTCCAAAAAGTTTTTTAACAGCAACTTCATTCAACCTACCCACTTTTAGTGTATTTATAAATTCCATGAAAAACCACAGTGTTCCTGGCAGCTGGAAATGCTGGATCAACTTAAACCTCCAGATCAGTAAAGCGAGCGTCCATTCTCCACGATCAACCTCTAACAAAGGGTCGTTTTTTTCTCTTTTGTCACATCTTGAACTTCCACCTGACTTTCTAAACATCAACATTCCCCATGCACATCCTCCGCTCCACCTCTAGGCTCTTTAACATGTCTGAAAGTTTAAATCCTATAGCCTTGACTTAGTTTAAGGCACATGTAGAATGTAACAGTATAAAATATCAAACTTCTTGTAAAATGGTTTAAATACAGTACATGTGAGCTCAGTCTTCCTATAAAAAGGCTTTTTGAAAGGCAGGTTTCAGGCGCTTTAGAACACTAAACATAATCACGATGGATACCTCTCTTCCTTAAATTACATTTATGAACTGTAGGCACCTTAAAATATGACTATGCATACTTCCCCATTACTTTCAACACATATAAAAATCTGGTGCATCACTTTCACAAACCAGTCTGTATGTAAACTTTGTTTCTTTCAACATTAACATCCTTCTTTTAATGTGACCGCCCTACAAAGGCTACCTGGTATCAACTAAACCTAAACGACTTTTATATTAGAAGCTTAACCTCTAATATCGTGTTTGTATTTTAAATTACAGTAATGCAACTTATCTGGCTAGGATTGGGATGCGTGGAACACTGCAGATAACTTAGTAAAGCTACAAAGACAGGGGGCTGCAATTTAACTGAGGAGCATCTCTTTAAGCAACTGAACCTACAGTAGTTTCTAAATACACACAGAAGCAAGAACACAATAATTTGATACACACACGTTAAAAAATACTCATGTCCCAGTTAAAATTCAAATTGCACACTAGACAAAAGAGAAAATAAATATGCCAAATGTAAGCTAGGGATGTATGGCACTTTATCCCTCAGTTAATTCACAGTTAAGAAGATGTGCTGCAGGTGCGGCAAGACATCGAAGGCCTCCATTTACATCATACCGTTGTTAGTAGCCCTGGTTAAATCATTTCACACACTTCACTTGGCAGGAGGATGGAAAAGCAGATTTCTGTAAACACAAAGCCAACAAACCCCAAGGTGAGGCATTGACACTAGACTTCTCATCAGTGACACCAACACAATACATACTTGGTGCCGATTCATTAGTATGATTGTTTGTTGCAGTAATGCAGTTTCTAATATATGGACATTTATTTAATGTTTTTCTTTGAGGAAAAGCACACAGAGCGATTACTCCTGGATAAACAGGTGGCTAAGAGGGAGAAGGCATCCCAGTGAACGAGAGGATCTGAGCTACTGTTCCTAGATACAGATGGACAGGTTAGCTGTGAACTGGGTTCTGAAGATTCCAGGTAACACAACTTGGGACACAGTCGTTCTCCTCTTCCTCTGGATAGAGATGATTATTGCACACGGCGGCAGTAGTAACCCAGAACTTTACATTTCTCACACAAATGCTGTGGGTGCTCCTTGCTCTGGTCGGACACGTCCAGGCCATCTGGCTTCTCTAAAGGTCGCTGTGGATACAAACAACACAGTTAACAAGGCTCAATAAAAACCTGAAGAAAAAGCAGCAGCCGGGTATAAAAGCTTGGTAGTTTTGCGAGCAGTTTCTTTGGCAGCAGGTCTAGCACTGCAGCACGGGTAGCTAATCTGTTCTTCAACACCATTAGAAAATTCTTCAGACCAGACGTGAACTAAACACAATTACAGAGTGGCTACAGAGAGACATGGCAGAGCACCAGGAGTTATGGAACAGCATTGTGCTGAAGCAAAGGGATCTATTAGGATCTGATTATGATGACCTGCACAGAAATATTAGCATTAGGCTTCTTGGAATCATTATCAGGTACAAAGGAAATGTTTCTGAAGCCAGCACAGTTGGAGGTGATTTTAAGAGACCAGCTGGACAATTTTATTCCTCATCTTTTAGTTGGAAACACACAAAAAAGTAACACTTTATTTACTCGAATCGGTCCAGCTGAAGGAAATCCGGTTACCATGGGTCATTACAAAGAGATTGTCAGTTGTCCACTAGTGAGTCCGCCAGCAAACGTTGAAACTTTAGTAAAGCAGTGTCGAAGACATTATGGGCTTAAGGAAATTCCGATGTCCTCTGGTGTCCTCTCAATGGCTAAAGTGGAGTGGAGCTGGAATTCTGTGGTGTCAATTGAAGGTTCCAGCAAATGGAGTCCAAGCCTTAGCCTGTTCCCTGGAAAGGCCTATTACACATTAGGTATTTTGACCTGAAAGAGTATGGAGAAGGTGACGGCATTCCACTTCTGGAGCTGTGCACTCATTAATATAACTGCAAATAACATGCTCAGTTCTGCCTTTGCAGGCAATGAATGCCTCAAGTGTTGACTTCCTGGGCATGACCAGACACTGGGTTTGCTTCTTTTTGATGCCTTGCCAAGCATTTACTGCAGCAGCTTTAAGTTGCTTTGGTTTAAGGGCCTTTCAGATCATAGTTTAGTCTTCAGCAAGTTAAATGCTCAGTGGGGTTAAGATCAGTTCACTGACCTAGTCATTTGAGATTATTCCACTTATTCTTAATAAAGTTCTGGGTTGTTTTCGACATGTTTAGCCGCATGCTGTCCTTCAACCGCTGGTTGTCTAGGTGGTGTCCTGAAAACAACGTGGGCTACATTGATGATTGGAAAACTTTTTGGGAAAACCTGGTCTGATGCGGAGAGATGGCATCCATCCCTCTTTGGGTGGAGCAGCTCTTCTTTCTAGGAATATGGCCAGTTTTATTAGTCCTTCATGGCAACCCAGGGTCCAGACCAGGAAGCAGAGTCGTAGTTTAACACACCCCTCTGCAGCTTCTGCACCCACCCACTACCCCATAGAGACAGTGTCCTGCCCACGGCCAAAATCACACAGATTAAATATCAGGCTTAATAAAGCAAATCATGGAAATCTCATAAATATTAGAACAAATTAAACTGAGCAGAAAACTACAAGTGAATTTGTGACACTTAGAGCTGACAATTTATTTCTAATTCATGTTAGCATTGTTAGCTAAAAGCTAGCCTCTAGACTTATTTGTCCGATAATAGAGTAAAACAAAAAAGGATGTTGTGGCTTCGTAGGGTAACGATAAATAACTTCTGGGTGCTAGCTAACATTCTTTCCACAACGCTGCTGCTTTTGCCAGTGGATGGGCTTCACCTAAATAGACAGGGGACCCGTACTCTAACAATGAGCCTGGCTTGTCCACGACCCCCCCACCCCCATCCCACCCCCGCCTACTCCACCGGCCTCAACTGCTCCCACTTCCTGATGTGTAGCTGGTCCATGCTCCTACCAGCCCAGCCATGATTTTAACAGTAAATCACATATCGGACTTGGACCTTGCCATACCTCATTCATACCTGTTATTATCAGCAGAGAGCGGACAAACAATCATAAACCAAACAAAGGCAACCCCAATAATCTAAAACAGTTACCAAAAGTCCCACCTTCAGTTAATACAGTCACTCCTTCACCAGTTGCTATTAATATGGCTCTTTTAAATGTTCATTCTCTGCTGAACAAAACGTTTTTAATAAATGACCTGATTTTAGATCGTAATCTTCACTGTCTGCTTTTAACAGAAACATGGCTGAGTTGAGATGCACCTGTTTTTCTCACAGAGGTCTCTCCGCCAGATTTTAATTTGAATTTTTCGACGAGGAGTAGCAAAAGGGGAGGCGGTACTGCTTTTATTAGTTCATCAATACTTTCTGCCAAACCAGTTTTATTTGATCATTTTACCACTTTTGAATATACAGCAGCAGTTTTTAGTTCTCCTCAGATTTTATGTGTCACAGTTTATCGGCCTCCTAAGCAGAGTGCCATTTTTATTCAAGAATTTTCAGAGTTTTTATCAATCCTGCTCAACTGCTTTGAAAGGATCATTTTAGCCAGTGATTTTAATCTACTTATAGATAATCCTTCTGATCCTTTTTCAAGGGAGTTTTTAAATATTCTGAGTTATATGGATTTTAGTCAACATGTCACACAGCCAACTCACAACAGAGGACACACCCTGGACTTGGTCATCACGTATGGCCCGTCCACCAGTGTGTCCTCTGTTATTGATTTGGCTGTATCTGATCACTACTGTGTATTTTTTAGCATCACCAGTTTAATCCAGCTGGAACCCTCTGTGAGAACTGTAATGAAACGCCATCTCACCCCTGAAGTGGCTGCAGGTTTTCTTGAAGTTTTTAGAAAGATCCCTCCCACTCCGGTAACTGCCTCTTGTGATTTTACTGTCAATGATTTTAACAATAGACTGAAATCCGCTCTCGACCTGCTCGCTCCACTTAAAATCAAAAATCTATATTCAAAACGTGCTTCACTGTGGAGAAATGAAAATCTAAAGAAACTAAAGAGAAATTGCAGGGTTGCAGAGCGGAGATGGAGAAAGAACAAAACAACTATAAATCATCAAATATATACAGAGCTACTTAAATCATATAATAACGCAGTGAGAAATTCAAGAAATGCATAGCTTTCCAAACTCATTCTAGACAATAAACACAATCCCAGAATACCTTTTTCCACCATAAACAACGTTTTAAACCGTACATCCAATTCACCTCAGAAAACACCCTCAAATGCTCTCTGTGAGGAGTTTGCAGCCCACTTCAGAGGGAAGGTAGACACCATCAGAAAGAATATTTTATCCTCCATAAGTAATAAGGTCTTAGATAAATCTGAATGTGTGTCTATACCAGAGGAAACACTGGACAGCTTTGTCCTGATAGAAGCTGAGAGTCTTGATAAAAGTTTTCTCCTCAGTGAGACCCACCACATGTGTTCTGGACCCAATCCCAACTTCGTTTTTTAAACAATTCTTTGGATCTTTTAGTGATGAGATTTTAACCCTGATGAACTGTTCCCTTCAGACAGGGGTCTTTCCTGCTGCCTTTAAAAGGGTGGTGGTGAGGCCCCTGTTGAAGAAGAGCAATTTAGATTTTAATGAATTAAACAATTATCGACCAATATCTAACTTACCATTTTTAAGCAAAATTCTAGAAAAGTTGGTTTTAAATCTACTAAATGATTTTATTAACACTAATAATGTCCTAGAGAAATTTCAGTCTGGTTTTAGGGTAAACCACAACACAGAGACGGCCCTTCTGAAGATTTTAAATGATTTTAGAGTAAATTATGACAAACGGAAGTCGACAGTGTTGGTTCTACTGGATCTAAGTGCTGCCTTCGATACAGTAGACCACACTATTCTTTTAACTGGTTTAAAACAGATCGGCCTCTCTGGTGCTGTACACAGATGGTTCACATCCTACCTCACAGACAGGACTTTCATGGTGAGTTTGGATACCTGTTCCTCTAGGGTCCATGGGATTACATGTGGTGTGCCCCAGGGTTCAATTTTAGGCCCAGTGCTTTTTAATCTTTATATGCTCCCTCTTGGCAGTGTCATCAGGAGTCACGGGGTCAACTTTCACAGTTATGGTGGTGATACACAGTTGTACATCTCTGTGTCTCCTGATGACTCTCGGTCAATGGATGCACTTTTTAACTGTATTTTAGACATTGAATCCTGGATGGCAGAGAACTTTCTGCAGCTCAACCAGGACAAAACTGAAGGTTTATTCATTGGTCCTGAGGCCCAGAGAGAGAAGCTTTTACCGAAATTACAATCTCGGTCTTTTAATCTATCTGAACAAGTGAAGAACCTGGGTGTGATTTTTGACTCGACTTTTATCCCACACATTAAAAATATCACAAAAATAGGTTTTTATCATCTAAAGAATATTGCCAGAGTCCGCCCCATTCACCTGAGTGTCACAAGCCTTTTATCTTTGACCAGATTGTCTTCCGAGCTTCGTCCCGAGTAACCTTACCTGTTTCCCCCTCCCCTTCTGGTCGAGCCTCCACTTACAGAACCTGCCATAAGTCACAGATCCATGCCTGTCTCCCGCTCCCAACCTCTTCCGACCGACCAGCTCTCCGCCTCCTGCTGCAACCCCCTCAGGACTCCGAGGATTCCCCCCCACCACCACCACCACCTTTGAGGATCACCCTGTCCCGCGCTCCTCCTGCCACTCACCTGCCAACCGAACCCTCCTCTCCTCCTTAACCCCGAACTTTGAGCCCCAGGATTTGGAGTAAATGAACTGAGCTAAGCTCCTAATCATCACCTACCCTTTTACGGTGCTCCTTTAGTTGGAACTAATAAATGATTGTTTGGTTTCTCACCCATCCTCCTGACTCTGAGTTGATTCTGTATGTCTTGGGTCAGACGGTTAACACCCAACATGACAACATAACTCCACCTTGTGTTAGCCAATCTATATCGTTTCTAAATTAAATGTTTATGTAATTTAATATTGAACTCCTTCTGTGTAGGTTAGTGAATGCTTTCTGTTTTTACAAATTCTTTATTTTGCCCCTACTTTTGAGCAGATTAGCTCTCACTTTCTTATCACCTCCTTAATTCAACAAGGACAGAGCTGCAGCTCATTAGACAGCTCTCACCCTTGACTCATCATCATTGTTTTGTTATTGGTAGACAAGCTTTATAAGATGACGCTTGCTCTAAATGACCCTTAGATTTGCTCAGTAGTATGATGACCTGACAACTGCTATGTGATGGTCATATTAATATGAGAATGACCTGATTACATATGAATCTAGTAGTTTTTAGGTTTGTCAGTCTTTTATTTTTGATTACTTTTTGTTGTTTCTGAGTATAAATCCTTTAGTTGTTCATTATCACGTTTAGTTAGACTCCTCTGCTTGACCCTTTAGCTATGTAGGGTTCTTTCTCAAGCACTTTCTAGGTTCCTGTAGTATAACCACTTTTACACAAAGTACACTTTTGTAACTTATGAATTATTTCTTAGTTATTTTTTTGTTGCTGTTTTTTTTCTTTTGGTTAGAACGTCTTTTCCCTTCCTGAAACGGTTAACATCTTTTCAAACACCTTTAGAGTTGTGTGCATCTAAAAACACCATCAGTTATTTTATTTTTGATCATTAACTGAATCTATGTGACAAATGAGTTTTATTTTTCTTAGAAAAATCTATTGTTCAATTTAACGTACTGAGTTTTATTTTGTTTGGATAATTCTGCTGTCCAAATTCGCTTAGCATCTCTGATTTAAACAATGAACAATATGGGTTTGGAACTAATAATAAATAGATTGACACTGAATCTTAATAAAACTAATTTTATACTGTTTAATGATAAAAAGAACAGTGATGTGTCATTGGAAATAGATGGGACTGAAATTCAAAGAGTAAAAGAAACTAAATTTCTTGGAGTTCTTATTGATGAAGACTTGACATGGAAATCCCATATTAGTTACATAAAAGGTAAAATTGCCAAATCCTTTGGAGTATTACATAGAGTCAAGTTTTTAGTGACTAATTCTGGTTTGTTGGCATTGTACAATTCACTGATTGTTCCATACCTGACTTATTGTGTAGAAATTTGGGGAGCAACATACAAAAGCTATACACAACCCTTATCTATTTTACAGAAAAGAGCTTTGAGAATCATCAGTTATAGTGGCTGTAGAGATCCATCAAACCCGTTGTTTATTAAATATAAATTACTGAAATTTCATGATTTAAAAGACAGGAAAATCTTACAAACCATGTATAAAGCCAATTTAGGTAATCTGCCAACAAACATTCAGGGGATATTTGAAAAGAGAACTAGTAATTACATGCTGAAAGAAACTGATGTGTTTACAAAACCTAGATTTAGAACTAATATTAAGGAATGGAATATATCTGTAAATGGTGTTAAATTATGGAATAACCTTAAAAGGGAAATTAAAAAAACTCTGTCATTTAATATATTCAAAAAATTTACCAAATTGAATGTACAAAATAATTATGAAAATGTAAATTAGATCAATGATCATGATCACTCTGGAATTAAGAACAGGAAAAAGTTCTAAATGAATCTGTATGTGTGTCTGACAAAAGGAAATTGTATATAAATAGATTATTTCTTCTGGAAAAGAGGGCAGAAGTTATAAGATGTTTTTCTTCATTCTGCTCCTTTTCGTAAAAATATTCTTTGTTATGTATTTCTTAATGTTTATATGTTTTATTTGTTTTTATTTTGAATGAAATATAAAAGAGGGAAAAAATGTAGCAGTATTTATCTCCTGTTGACAAATTTTACACATTATTTGAGCAGCATTATTGAGTGACATTGCACATTGTTGATGTGCTCTGAAGTGATCTTACCTTACTGAATCTATGTGGATTTGAAATATTATTTTTATAATTAGGACTGGTATCGTTGTTAGTTGATTCCAGTGTTGGAAGCAAAGAGATTAAACTATGAAGTCACTAGAGGTGAAAGTTTCTGGCATAATGAAAATGAACATGTAACTCTATGATATTTTTGTTTTGTTATTAGTTGGGGAAGCTGACAAGCTCTCACAGATGGGTTGATTGTTTTGATTTCACTGGATTTCAATTTTTGCTACAGCTCTTTTACATACTTTTCAGATTTTAAAAATAGGGCTCAATGCCTGCCTGCTTTGATGCTCAGCTTTAAGGGGTGATTTGGGGGGTTAAACCAAATAGTTCCTGAGGGCAGCCACTGCCCCCCAAAGGGATGGGCCAAATGCAGAAATGTAATTCCAGCAGTGAGAGATAATGACTAATGGGGCTTTAACTTTAAGGATAACCTGTTTTGCCAGCATAGGGAGTTAATTTGACTACATGTTGTACGTTCACACTTCAATCTCCCAAATGCAAACAAGACACCTGAAATCAACTCCAGGCCTTATCTGTCTAATTGATGGTGAAAAATGAAGGCATTGTCCATGAAATTACTTTTAAATGAATTACCAAATATCTTTTGGCCCATTTGAAAAGAGGGTGGCACATGCTACAGAACCGAAACCCATAAACCCATCATCCAATTTGAATGTGTCCCTATTCCCTACAGTGAATCACGAGTGTCCACACTTCTTCATTGCGAAATTGTAATCTGAATATATTTCAGTAAACAGGTTAACAAGTAAAACTTGTGTCAGTGTCCAAAGGGACCTAACTGTAATATCTGTCTATCTTTTGATAACTATTTACTTATCTGATGTTGTATTTCATATCATATAAAATATTATAAAAATGCATATTTAGGCCTAGTCCACACGTAGCCAGGTTTATTTAAAAACGAATATCCGCCCCTCCAAAAACTTGCATCCACACCACCTCGTTTTAAAAAAAACTGTCCACACGTACCCGGATAAATGCGTTGTTAAGGACATGCCAGACCTGTAGGCGGCAGTACTTACCCCGTTCTTAACCTCGTCCTTCGTTTGTGGTCTTCCGCAAGGAGCAGTAATTCCACTTGCAAAAACACACAATCAAAAAGCGCTTGGACAATTGATAAAGCGAGCGCAGCTATGAGGGCATCTGAGGGCATCCATGCTGTCGGCTAGCGTAAACACAGGTCGCACACGTGATGTCAGCATTTTTTTGTCGCGGAAAGTGACGTTGCGGACCTTAAAACTCCGGTTTTATCTGTCCACACGCAGACACCCAAAACGGAGAAAACGCAGATCTTCACTTTGGCCGGAGTTTTTGAAAAGATCCGTTTTCGTGTGAAAAAACTCTGTTTTCATGTGGATGACAGGCCAAAACGTAGAAAAATATCTACGTTTTGGCAGATCCCCGGCTACGTGTGGACAGGGCCTTAGTTTTATCAACAAGAGTATTTCTCTGACAAAGGACACAAAAGCAGAGAAGAGTGGTGTTTACCCACCACTGAATCCAAAGGAAACATGTGAGTCAGGTTGAGAAATACTTGGCCATTAGAACACGGTGATAAGTTATTATTCTTGGTGACTGTCTCACCTTGATGAACACTATACAAATGATTAAACACAAGTTTTGGAAACAAATATCTTTTTTAGTTGCCAAGCAATTAGTAGACATTAGTGGTGCAATATCTCTTTCCTTTTTCATTTCATCCAAATGTTAACTGGGTGGAGCGCCAAGGAGAAACTCTAGTTTCAATCCTAGATTTCTTTTAGTAAATTGAATGACAAAAACGTAAAAAATAGGTTAGACAGTACAAGATAAAGTTGTACGGAAATGTACCTCACTTGTTTTCCTCACTTGTATTCAACAAGCTAATTGAAATTATATTAAAACCATAGACTGTAAATATAAGATGGATAAACCCTCCGTGCCATCACCTGTAGGTTTCTAAAGAGCCCAGTTTGTTTTAATGGTTCGCTCCCACCCCTGCCATCTTGGCCGTGTAACGTGTCTTGTCATTTCCAGAAACTACAAAAATGGAACTGAGACTGGGACTGTTATTATGTGGGCAGATGAATGGCACGCATCAAAATCTGAGTCAATTCAGCTACAAGCTAACTGAGATAACTGAAGCTAATGGAGGTTGATGGACACTTTTAGAGCTGTGATATACTTGATGTTTGACCTCATGTTGGCACAGGCAGCAGGTTCCATCTTTGTTCACATACTTGCTGCTGCACAGAACTGTACTGCACTTAGTACTGGGGTGTTCCACTAGGGGGCGCACTAGAATACTCAGACCGCACAGAGAGTCGAGTTTGTGGGTACAACCAAAACAAACATGGCGTCAATAGAAGAGATCAGTAACTGGTTAATTTTGGGTTTACGACAGAAAGAGACAGCAGTGATATCGAAGATGGTATGAAAGACCTCTAAACCAGAGACTGAGTCACCATGGTGAGTGTGTCTTGCTCATTTTGTCGACTCCACCTACTGGTTACCCGTATACTGCAGCGTTCGCACGTGTCCCCGACTCATCTGCTACCTGTCAATCAAATGAACATGCCCATAAGTATTCATAAATTCAAGCTTTAATTACTCATCTAAACAGACGAGTTAGAAAAAAATTCATCCCTCTCAGAGTTGTTATGCTGGGAAACTTGACCTAGTAAACCTAAAATGGTTTTTGCCTCAGGCTATAAACATGTTTATTTCTGCTGAGAAGTTGGCGTTCTTAATATTGGAGTCATTGGAAAGTTGCTACTTTCTGGAGTCAGCCCTTGTGGATAAGGGGGAACTGCAATTTTTGTCACTTGTACATTAGCTTCATTTTAGGCAGGTGGCGTTTACCCCTTGATTAAAACAGAACTCTTTTGCAGCTTGTTAATTAAGTTTGAGTATTTTTGGGGGGAAAAAGGACACCATGGTTAACGCGGTTCCAAGTTTTCCTTCTAAACAACTTTCTGAGTTACCACATGTGAGCCCTTCCAATAAATACTTTTGTTTTAAGTTTTGACGGCCTTTTGTAAATAATCCTAAACTTTCATGGGTCAGGAAATGTTATTTGTTTGTTCAATGCTGGTTTATTGCCACATAATTGTAAGTGGAGTGAATCTTATTTCATTTTAATGAGGCTGTCTGGAATAAAGTCAAAACAAAATGAAAAACAGTCTGAATTCTATTGGCGTTGGTTGAGGCGAGCCATTCGACGGTGTGAGTAATACTTTCTACTGAGCAAAACATTCTCAGAAGTCGTTGCATCATGCTGGGCGAAGTACCTGTTTGTGTGGATACACATTGATGTGACATTTGATACATTCTTGTCCCATGTTGGCCCAGGAGTTTCCACTCATCCACTTCCTTTTACACTTGGGGCACTTGTACTCGCCAAAGCATCGTTTTTTCCCCTGGTAGGGTGTCAGTCCTTCACCTTTAGGTCGGGCCTATAAGAGAAAAGTAAATGAAAAAGTAATTTCTTTGTATTAGCTTTATCTGATTGGAAATATCATAAAAATTAAATGTTGGAAATCTTTTTTTGGTGCATAGACATTTTTACGGCATGCTCTAGCCATAGGTTGAACAAAAACAAATGCCAGAGAGACAGCTGAGTGGTTCCATCTCTAACTTAGTCATAAAGAAAAGTCCTAATGACGTTTATTTCCAATGCAGCTGTGTTACATTACTCCTCTGACTCTCGTGAGGGAGATGATTACGAACAGTCAGCTGTGAAAAAAGCACTGGCCCGAGGGCGTTATTGTCAGGAGGAGCCGCCCCTATGACTTCATGTTGGCAATTTTTATTTGGGTCACTAAAACAACATATGGAAGAGATGTCCTTTTGGGTGTTTTTGTCTTCCTTTTGTTCCAAACAAATGCACAACTCAAAAGGATAAATCACAAATTGTCCACTGCATTGCCCAAAAAATAAACCAAAATGTACACTTATTAGAGAGGTAGTCAGAGCATGTCCTTATTGCTTTTCAAGGGGGAAGTCATCTCACAAGCTTTTCTTACCATCTAACAGCCATTATCAGAGCGAGACATGTGCGTTTTCATGAGAAAAGCAACTGCATCTCTTAAAAAAATACATAAAATAAGGAATTTTGAATACTCTGCTTTGCACAGATAAGACAGGATAGAAAGAAGAAATGCTTTTCTCTGCCGACCACTCTAGCAGCCAAGAAATACTCTGGTTTAAAAGCAAAACCTTTCCTGTCCACTCCTGACCCCACCTGAAAGATTGTTTTCATAATCACGCTATCACGAGATACAAGTTTGCAACGTAGAGGGTGTGGAGACTTACTGCACCCCAGCCTGGGTATGAGTAACAGAAACTTAAATCTGCAGCATCTGGAGCTCTCCAAACAGACGTCAGCACTTTGCATCACCACTAGCGAGTGAGGACAAAGTACTCTTCGATCCAACCCTTCAAAGGCATGACCTCAACCCCAGCTTTGCATCTTGAACTGCAGCAACATGACTGGAAAATTTGACACTTATGTTCTGAGCCACACCAGTCCTAATGCACTGACAGTGTTTTGATGCAATCAATGGTTTGTCTTGAAGACAATGCCACAGCAATGCTTTGTTTGGAAATGCTCCTTCAAATGATGTAGTTACTATACAATCTAACTATAAACAGGCTGCCATTCCGGTGAAAATGCAGCATTCTCTGTGAAGGATTGTGGAGACATTTGACAGTTTGAGTTCCAACATGATTCTCCCAACAAAATTTGAATATTTAGTAACTGATAGCTTCTCGTTACATCCGTTTGGTAGAGTTTAGCCAGGACTCAGCAGGACAGAAACAGCACTCATCCATCGCATGATCATTCCTCTCTTGCTCCATGCTGTTTCGAGTGTGCGGCCTTGGCCTCTGGCTGCACATCACGCTATGTCTTCAGCTTAGTGCTTTCAGATTAACTAAACCTCTCTGTGCAGATCTGAGTACCGAAGAGAAAAAAGCTGCAGCACAAACTGTCGTCTAAAGTCAATGCAAGTTTTCAAATACAAGGCAAACTGACCAAAACGTTCAAATTAGCATCTGTTTTGTAAATTAGAAATGGAGCCTGTGGGGGTGTCCAGTTCTGTTAGGTGACTTGTTACAGATGAAATACATCCAGCTGATTTCAATTATGATCAAAAGACTACCAGGAGTGACAAACTGAGTCACAAACCAACTGACTCAGTGATGATCAGGAGAGTTCACAGGCAGCACCAGCGTGAACCCGGTCACCTGAAGACTTGATCAGATCAAAAATCAATATCCAAGGGGACTGCTTTGATAAGCTCCTATAGACTTTAATCTTGTGTTTACCAAAGGGAAGAAGTTTTTGATGGCTCAGGATCAGACAGCATGCAAAACTAAGAAAAGGCTTTTTACATTTTATCCCTTTGATGCATGAATTATGAAATCTTCAACCATGATATATTTAACTTTTTTTTCATTCATCTTAAGGTGTGAATGAAACAAATTTCATATTTACATAGTTTTTGTAACATTTAATTTACACATAGTTTATTACATGTACACCTCAGTGGACAGCATGCATTCTGAGCATGAAATATGTTGGCTTGACTTACTGAAGTCCAAATGGAGGGGCCCAAATGCAATAAAAAGTCTTCAACAGTTGTGCTTAATAGCAAAAATAAATAAATAACAATTTTGAGTACCTGTCCACTGTAGTGACCATTGTGCATCAAAGGGTTATCATTAAAAATGGGGAAAATGTTGCTGTTTCCCACTGAACATCAGCTTTTAATACAGAAAAGAACCTGAACAAGAAACCTTCCATGCATCCGCATGTTTCTAGTACTAAATAAAAGTCATGTACCTTTTCTTCTTGCTGTAAATAAAGTTAAAGCTACAATAGCAAATTTGGAAAACAAATTAGCTTAACACTTTTTTCTACATCTTAACACTGTTCTAACATAATATAGCTAAAGATATTGAGATATAAAAAAAGATAAATGAGTGAGAAATTTGTGGCTCAATAATATCTGAGGAGAAACAGCCAGCTGGTACCACTATCAATTTTAAGACAAACTACCAAAAAGTCCCAAGAAGAAAAACACCACTTGAAGTCACGGACAAATTAAAAGACGTTTAAACCTAGAAAACGGCAATTGGTGTTTAGCGCTATCTCATTTTCTCTGGCAATGGCAACGGTTCCGGTTCCAGCAGAAGCGTTTTAGGGAAGATACCCGAGGGGTGGGGTGAGTGTTCCGTTTTTCTCAAGAGTGTAGCTTTGCACCAAATCTCCCAACTATGGAGAAGGCTGTTGTTGATTTAGAGTGCATCTTGGCTAGTAGAAGCTAGCCATTAACATTAGCAACTCCACAACACAGCAGAACTTCTCCGGGCTTGTGTTTTTTGTGGAAATAAAACAACAATGTTGCAAAGCAAACGGAGTGAGTGGTAGAGTTGCGTTGCTGTTAAGAAATCAGAGGCAAGATACCCGATTATCAGGAAATATGACTCCAAATCTAAGGAGCGTGGCTTCAATCAAGATAAAAAAAACAAGATATATCCAAACAAAAATGATGTCCGTGGCATCATGTTTACAGCACAGTGGCTGCCCCAACACCACTTTTTTTACAGCATAGTGAAAAATACATGATCACACCACATTACCGCCACAATTTGACCACTTATGATGCCGCCTCTGCTTTGTGGCAAAACGGCACCATTATTTTTTGAAATAGGTTAAAGAAAAGCCCAAGATTAAAAAGTCCAAAGTTGATGCCAAAGCAGTGTATTGGAAATCGATTTAAAAAAATCAATGTTGAACATCTCAAGTGCTCTTTATCAGGTTTGACTGAGTAGGTTTTTTTCTAATCTTGTAGACAACAATAAGCAGTAAAAAAGAAGTGCATTTCTTAAAAAAAAAATGTAACAAAAGGGGTGCATGTATGGTTCCCATTTCCCGTGGATTTACCGCGGATTACGCCCCTATTTTAATTTGCACATTAAATACTTCCACCAACGACATTCCACGCAAATGCACACTTACCCCGGTTTCACACTGAAAGCATCGGCGGCGCAGAACGGCAGCAAAACGTCACTGCTTCAAATATAATCCATTATAGTCTATGGACTCAAACCAGCAGCGACGTGGCGATTTCCAAGCACGTCCCAGAAGCAGCATGCAGCGCCACGCCGCTAAAGATAGGATTGGGTTCTATTTTTTCCACGATCCGCTTCTGGGACGCGTCAGTTTCCTCAGTTAACATAGGGCTAGACAGGAAATCGCACACGATTTCAGTTTAAAATCCCAGATAATTTTCAAAATAAAAGTACTGCAGCAATGCAATTTCATACATATAAAGCTTACGTGTGACCCGACAGCTTATTTACTTACAGCATCGTTTCAGAAGTACAGATGGAAGTAAATTTTAAAGCGTCCGAACGAGTGTACAAACAGCAGAAGCGGTTCTTCTCCAGATTGCACTTTAAACGCAGACTCGCCAATGGTGAGTATGTCCAAAGACAGTGGCTGCTTTACTCTCCATCTTTCGGAGCTGTGTTTTGTTTTGCATGTCGCATTTTCAGTGATGCTAAAAGCAAATCGTGCTTTGAAACTGGTTTCAGTGACTGGAAACATGCCACAAACCGGATGAAACAGCATGAAAACAGTGAACATTGCAGAAAAGCTATGCTAACATATATCACACTTGGGTCAGCTGCTGGAAGGATAGATACAGCGCTGGAAAAACAATTTGAATCTGAGGGTGCATACTAGACTGAAGTTTTGAGAAGAGTTGTATCTATTGTGAAGTTTTTGGCAGAGAGAGGACTTGCTCTTACAGGATCTAGTCATGTTTTTGGCAGGACTGATTTATGGTAATTACCTGGGCATTCTGGAGTTAAATAAGCGAGTTTGATCCCTTTTTGAAGTCTCACATAGAGAAATATGGAAAAGCAGGTGCAGGGGCACCTTCATATCTTTCTTCTAAAATATGTGAAGAGTTTATTCAACTGATGGGTGATCGTGTTCTGTCTGAAATAGTAGGTGAAGTAAACATGGCCAAATACTATTCGATCTCTGCTGACTCCACCACACCAGATGTTTCCCACCTTGATCAGTTAACATTTATTCTGAGATATGTGTCACCTGAAGGGCACTCCCAGGAACGCTTTCTTAAATTTCTTCCCATAGAGAGCCATACAGGGGAAGCGTTATGTGAGCTTGTACTCAAGGTTTTGGGAGAAATGAACATTGACATTGCAAACTGCAGGGGGCAGTGTTATGATAATGCTGCCAACATGTCAGGAGTGTATAAAGGACTACAGGCACATATAAAAGAAGTCAATGCCCTTGTTGAATGGGTTCCATGTGCAGCACACACCCTGAATTTGGTTGGGGTCAACAGTGTTAACTGTTGTTTTGAGACAGCTGATTTTTTCCAGTTTGTGCAAAACCTTTTTAACTTCTGCTCCAAGT